CTCTTGCTCAGGCTGGTCTCCAACTCCTGAGCTCAAGCAATCCTCCCCCCTCAGCCTCCCAGAGTGCTAGGATTACAGGCGTAAGCCACTGCGCCCGGCCCATTGAATGTTAATTTGGTAAAAGTTACAATTTAAAGAAGAGCACGCCAGTATATAAAACAAATAAAAAACTTATGGGCTAGGTGCAATGCCTTAAGCCTGTAATCCCAGCGACTCCTCGGGAGGCTGAGGCGAGAGGATGGCTGGAGCTTGGAAGTTGGAAGTTAACAGTGAGCTACAATCATGCCACTGGACTCCAGCCTGGGTGACAGAGCAAGACCCTTTTGAAAAACAAACAAGCAAACAAAGAAAAACTTATGGGAACCCCTGTCTCCACAAAACCTCTATTCATTCCTAGGTTTTTGATTACTATTTTAAAAACTCATTTAATTTTTTAATTAAGTAATACTTGTACATAGTATATTCAATAATTGAATTCATAAAAATGCAAAGGGAGCTGGGCATAGTGTTGTGCACCTGTAGTCCTCGCTACTTGAGCCCAGGAGTTCCAGGCTGCAGTGACCTAGGATAACGCCACTGTATGGCCTGAGTGACAGAGTGAGACATTGTCTCCTAAACAAAAATGGTTCAAAATAGTGTATAGTAAAAAATCACTTTCTCTCTTACCTCTATTCTCCACTTACCCAATTCTCTTCTCCAGAGGCATCATTTTTGCTAGTTTCTTATATGAATTGCCAAAAAGTCTATGCATATACAGACAAATGTGTGTGTGTTAGTACATGGTACACAAGCTTAGTACCTCAGTTTTTTTTTAACAAAAAAACTATAATTTTTTAATAGTTAACACATTCATGTGTTAAATCCAATAGATTTCTTTCTCTTTTCTTTTCTTCTTTCCTTTTCTTTTATTTTTAATGGAAAACCTGCTAGATAAATTGTAAATGAACTGTAAAACTAAACAGGTTTCTCTTCTGTCCATGTTCCTGCTTCCATCTTGTTCTCCTCCTAAAACAGTGTTACCAGTTTTGTTAGGGTGGGAGCTCGTAACCCAGGATGAGAAAGAATTCTCGACTCAAAGATTAGGGTAGGTTTGGAGGAAGAAGTTTATTTTACTTTCTGAGAGAGGAAAGGGTATGGCAAGAAAGAAAGAGAGAAATGCTGGCCCCGAGGGTAAGAGGTTTGGGCTTTTTATTGGGATAAAGGATAGAGCAGTTATTATTGCAAAATGATAACAGGAGGCAATGTGTGTGTGTGTGTGTGTGTGTGTGTGTGTGTGTGTGCGCGCGTGTGCGCGTTTTCTCTGCTAGACTGGCTTTATCAGACTTCACAGAATGTGGTCTGGCAGATGTGGATGGGAGCTACACGCCCTTTTCTGTCTGCTCAGTACTGTTCCAGTTCTGTAAAACAAGCTCTTAAAAAACAAGTTAAGCCACAGGTGTTTAAACAAACAAAGGGGCAGTTGTGTGCTGTGATTTTTCTCCCTATTTTCTCTGTTAGACAGTTTATCAGCAATGCCGTCCTTTCATGTTTGTTGTATTTCCTTCTAGACATAGTCTGTGCATGTATAGACTGTTTTCTCCTAATAATACAAAATTGCTCCATAAGCACAGTGACTTTGTCTATCTGCTTCACTGTTTCTTAACCTAACACAGTTCCTGGCACATAGCAGGTGTTTAATAAATATTTTTGGAAGGAAATAATATAAACACAGACATCATTCTTATCATCCTAATCTCTCTTACCTCTATTTCCAAATACATCTAGCAATTCTGATTGATTTCCCATGGGAATTCTTCTCAGCTTCATCCCTTCCTCACTTTTTCTGTGATCGCAGTCCAACCTCGGAGTCTAATCACTATACGTCTTAGACTAATACTGCCTCCTAACGAATCTCCTACATCTCCCATATAGATAAATAGCTCTATGGAAAGGGAGACCATGTCAGATAATAGCTAATAATAGTAGGTTTAGAGTCAGACTACCTGAGTTCATAGTCCAGATCTGCCATTTAGGAGCAACAGGGTCTTAGGGAAACAAGTTAGCCCAAGATCTGTGTCACAGTTTCCTTGCCTTTACAACAGAGATAACAGTGTCTTCTTTATAGGGTAATTGTAAGATTAAATGGGCTAATATGTCAAGCACTTACATATATGCACCTGGCATATGATGTGTTCAGTAAATGTTGTCTACCATTATTATGGCAAGAATGAGCTTCCTCAAGCACTGCTTGACTGCATCGTAAGTCCTTTAAACCTTTAAAGGCTTTTACCATCTCCTCATAGCAACTGTGATTATTTATACTGAGCTTTACAACCCCTTATCAGTTTACCTCCTCCTCCTCCTCCTTCCTCAGCCAGTTTCTTAACCTGCTATGGCGTGTGAGCTTCACTCCCAGTAACCCAGTCTCCTAACCCACACAAGGGCCATCCACATTCACCCGGAGGCTTCGGTTTACACCGTTCCTCCTTCACAGTAACCACTTTCATCTTGCCTTTGCTTTCTTCTTTCCTTCTTCTCTCCTGCTCCTGCCACTCTCCTTCCCTCAGGTCTTCGTTGACTAGTTCTGGCTCTGAGTATAGGGATATAATTTTTTATATATATGATATATTACATTTGTATTTGTATTTGTATTTCTTTCTTTTTTTTTTTTTTTGGAGACAGTCTCGCTCTTTGCCTGGCCTAGAATAGCGTCAGCCTAGCTCACTGCAACCTCAAACTCCTGGGCTCAAGTGATCCTCCTGCCTCAGCCTCCTGGAGTAGCTGGGACCACAGGTGTGCGCCACCATGCTTGGCTAATTTCTTTCTATTTTAGTAGAGGTGGGGTCTTGCTCTTGCTGAAGCTGGTCTGGAACTCCTGACCTCAAGCAATCCTCCCACCTCGGCCTCCCAGAGTGCTAGGATTACAGGCGTGAGCCACCGCT